ACGTGATTTTTCAAATATATGTTTTTGAAAATTGAAATCTTGCTTTAATATCCTCAGTGTGCTTATCCCACTCCAGGCAAACAGCCCATGGACCATAATCACGCGCCCGCGATCAATGATGAACTTTAGACTTCGCTAATGCGTTCCTTTCCCCTGGTGTAAATAGCCTGCCGGAATTAGTACCCTCTCTCCGGGCTAACGCCCGGAACGGCGCTTCGCGCCGTTGGCTACGCGATAAGCATAAAATATTTAGCCAAATAGTTAAACATGCAGTGAATATACCATAAGAACTTTCGCACTTTCGCTAATGCGAATTATATATTTAAAACAAGTCCTTAATGATGAAACTAAATGTTAATTAACAATTATTCGCCGAAGGCGAGGTGAATGTCGCTGAATCAAATGTAACCTCAATCAAATGTAACTCCTGAAAGTTATCTTAGCGACGTTCAAAATTCAGTAAATCAGTTAACCTGTTTTAGAGAAATTACAGAACCAGAAATATTAGGTTTACTTCAGGGATTGGTTGCCTCTAAAGCATCTGGCATCGATGGAATTTCAGCCAAAATTTTGAAAATCGCAGCTCCATCAATTACTCCATCCATTGTATCAATTTTTAATCACTCAATCGCAACTGGTATATTCCCATCCGATTGGAAAGTCGCTAGGGTAGCTCCAATACACAAAACAGGAGCTAAGCACGATATGGAAAATTACAGACCGATATCTGTTCTTTCAATTATAGCGAAGATCATGGAGAAACTGATACATAATCAATTATATGACTATCTTATAGCTTCAAACCTACCAACAAATTCCCAACACGGCTTTAGACCATGTCATTCAACAACCACAGCTCTATTAGATATTACTAATAGATGGTACCAAAACATGCACGTAGGACAATGAAATGGAGTTGTATTTTTAGATTTAAAAAAGGCCTTTGATACTGTTAACCACAACATTCTTCTAAAAAAATTAAAAATTTATGGCATAAAAGGCATGGCACTCTGTTGGTTGCGATCATATCTATCAGACAGAATCCAATATTATCAAATAAATGGTCACCTGTCAGACCCCCTAACCGTGAAGACCGGAATACCACAAGGCTCGGGATTAGGCCCATTATTGTTTTTGATCTATATTAATGATTTTCAAAAATGTTTAAGACACACTAGACCAGATATGTTTGCCGATGACACCCAAATTGCAACATCTAATAGCGATATCAATGTGATCTTAGAGAATCTTAACACAGATTTAATAAATGTTTCGACTTGGATGTCAGCTAATAAATTAACTTTGAACAATAAAAAAAACGGAGTTCATGGTTATAGGTAGCAATAAGCGACTTGGCCAAATAGTCCAAGAACCCTCAATTTGTGTGAGAGGCAAAGAGATTAAAAAGGTTAATACAACCAAGTCGCTTGGCCTAATGATTGATGATACTTTTTGCTGGTCGGCCCAAGTTGAAAAAATTACAAAAAAAGTTAACTCGGGACTCAGCATCATTAGAAGACTGCGGGATATTGTTGATTATAATACTTTAATAACTGTTTATAAATCAATAATCCAACCACACTTTGATTATTGCTCACAAGTTTGGGGTTGCCTAGGAAAGGTTTTATCAGATAAACTTCAGCGTCTCCAAAATAGAGCGTTTCGTATTATTACCCGTGAAGGATATGAAACGCGATCAAAAGATATTCTGCAAACAAGAAGGGAACAACAACTTGCTACATTAATGTATAAGATTAAACATAAAATGCTTCCAAACTACCTGCAGGATATTTTCATCAATACGCAAGAAGTCCATAATCATAACACTAGGCATAGTGAATTTAATTATACAACCAATTATATTACAATTATATTACCAATGCCAAATACTAATGCTATGAAAAAATCATTGGCCTACAGAGGTGCAGAGACTTGGAATGCTCTCCCAATTGACCTGAAGTCATTAGGAAGTATAGCAACTTTTAAGAGTGGGGTAAAACAATGCAGATTGATATAATGTTAAGTTATAAAAAAATTTTATATTTATAGTAGTTAGCGCACGGCCTATTGGAAGATCACTTTTTTCTGGTTGTTTTTGTAAATAATATATTTTTAATATAATGTGAAATAGTACCGTGTTTAAATAAAGTTGAAGTTGAAGTTGAAGTTGAATAAAAACCGAGACGAAGTCGAGGTTTTTATTCAGCGATATTTACCGAGCCTGAGGCGAATAATTGTTTTAGTATGATTACAAAGGTGATTATTTGAAAAAAAATAATATAACACATTTCAATCTTTTTCCGTACGGCGGTTACTTTAGGTTTCTATATCCAGAGCCGCTCATATCGCCATCAAGAATGCTTTTTTGTAGTAATTTCCATCACTTTTTCTTATAGAAACGTAGAATTTTGATAAACATTTGTTTATTCCGTCAATATTCATGTCTTCAAACTCATTTGTGAATTGTTACTGTTGTTGAAACCAATCTGTTGTAGAAAATACTTTTTCACAAACGTAAACAAATGTCTAAACTATATATTGTACGGCAACTTGAATAGAACGGTGTTTTATGCGAAATAAAGTTAAGCAGATTTCTGCAACGTAGTTTCCCATCTCGAAATACTTTTAAGCCAAATTTTGTCACTTCTTTCGTGCTTTTAGGTACAGTATTTTCTTTAAAATTAGTAACTTATTTCTTCATCTGTCACTTCGACAAAACCACTCGCCGCCATTTTGAAAAAAAAAAAGCTTAGGTGATTAATCATCGCGTAATAATCCGAGGTCTCTTGACCCATCAGCGGCCACAATTTTCGATAATCACCTTTGTAATTATACTAATCACTATTAATCAATACGGGATAAAAGAAATTTTATATATTATTTGTATTTTGGATATAGAAAAAGCCACCAAAAATGGCAATTAATGTTTTCTGCAGACCATCACGTCGCAATGCTGGTTTTAACAGCATGATATCTAAATTGTGTTTGCACGAAATTGCATGCTTTTCGTGCATTTTCAAAATCATATCATTTGCCTCAGTCTAGCCAGATGAGAGCCAGATAGCCAGTGACCTTCGTCCACCGCCCGGCGATAGGTCGGAGCAGTGTCTGAGCATTCGAGATACTCATAATATTACAATATCTCGTTAAACACTATTTTTTATTAACTTTTAATGTTTATAACCCAGAATTGCCCCACACATACAAGATTGTTTGTGTGAAATGTCACAAAGCCCGTCCTTTAATTTGGATTCACTCAGTGACACTTTGTGCTGCTACTGCCCTTTCTTTATATTATGCGATTGACCCTTTTTTGTTGACTTCGTTTTTTTGTTGTTGCGATGCACTATGTAGTGATTAACTCTTTGTATAGAATATTTCTATGTATTTACAGCTCACGCGCGGTACCCGTTATTGGAGCTTCGGATCTGTGAGTGCGCCCTTTCTGGTTTGGGGTAAGTATAATAAATAAATAAATAAATTCTGTTAATTAATTTAATTGGCGAATTATTTGTTCGCGAGACATGGAATAAAAATGAGCATACTGCTGAACGCATTTTTTTGTATTTTATAATTAAGCGTTTTGTTCTATTGCAAGATTAGATTTTCACTAAATTCCATCGTGAAAATCTTAATCGTGTCGTAATCGTTCCTCACAGAACCCAAATTTTCATGACGTCATGTGAACCGAAATATGCGGGTGTAAAAATCAGTAATTTTTTTTAATTTTCTCGACAGTTGTGGGTTAAATGTATGCCATTAATATACATTATCTCTTCAATTTAGACATTGTTTGGAAAATGCATATCAATAACTTTGATATACAGTGTCGTTTTGTGTTATGTTTAATGTTTGACAAATAATGAATGTTTTCATTCATACAAAAGTAAAATGTTTTCATTCAGTGAATCTACCACACACGTATACCCACTTTTAATTACATGAAAATTGTCACATACAGTTTCAAGCTTGCGTAAAAATTCAAAATTCGCTTGAACTATTATTATTACCTCATCTATAATGACAGTTTAACTTAATTCTGGTGAGTAATATCCTCTTATATACATTTTATACTAGAAATACATGCATGTAACAACCCCTTGCCTATATTCTCCAAACATTATTTTAACATGAAGTATTCGTAAATACGCCAACACTGAACGCAGGCTCGCCTCATGTCAGTCATTGCAATACGATAATTTTAAAAAAATATTTTTTGTACAAACCTGCAAAAAGTAGATGAAATTGAACACTTTTAAATACAGGACTATCAATTTATAAAATATATAAAGTAGGTATATTATTTTGGTTTCTATGGGCTTTATTTTAATGTAAAATTCGAAACGAAACTACGTATTAAAAACGTTTTTAAATGTGAATTGAATTTTAACGACTTTTTGCCGATATTAATCTCTTCAACTTATTACTCGCACTTTGAAGTGAAATAAATTTAATTCGTACAGGACGCTAATGTAAATAATTTGCTTTCCTTTTTATCATGAACTTCTACAAAAGTTAATTTAAGAAACTTTCGCATACAATGTATAGGAAAAACTTGAACAACAAGAACAAAATCTATATTAATACAAAGTCATGCATACATAAGCAATTGAAACAAACTTGCTAAGTACTTTAAAATTTATCATACTAAATCAATTCTTAATTAATGTTTACCTTTAAAAATTGAAGAAAAGTTTTACAATTTGTTATGTGAAACGATTTTCCAAGCTTTCTTACATATATTTTTTAAAGGAGATTGGCAATATATTTTGACATCTCATTTTTCTTTAAGATTTTGTTAGATAGTTAATAGAAAAGGTGTTTTTTGCTTCCAAAAATCGTTCCCCTTGCACTTAAAGATGTTTTCAAGAGTCAATTTCATATTGAAAGTCCGCCATTTTGAAATCCGATGAGAAAAAATTAATTTCGTAATTACAATTCGCATGTGACGTCATAAGCAGGGGAAGAAACTTGCGTTGTTTTCGCATAATATTGTAAACATGGAAGCTGCCAACGAAATGGACTTTAAAGGATACGAAATACAGCCATACATGTTCGAACCAAATCCAGATGACGAAATAGAAAGTGAAGATTCGGATTGTGAATCAACTTCGACAGAAGATAACCCCAATGCAGAATTTGAAGGAATTAATTCGTGGCGACTAACAACTCTTCAGTGGTGTAAATGTGGTCAGTGTCAGATTATGACCAAAACAATCGAAAGCTTTTGTTGTCATGAAAAAGCCGTCGAATACGATGAATATGATGCAAAGCTAATATCAGCTCAGAATCAAGGGTTAACATGTATTTCATTATTGCCTGCTTTCGTGCAAAACATGTTGTCGCAAGATGTGCTCGAAGGTGATGTCGCACAATACTTGGAAGACAATTCTCCGCATGATGATGACGACCGTGCTAGAACGCACAAACTTTATCGGCTATCTGCATATCGACGATGTTCGAGATGGATTTTTCAAATTTTAGGCGAGAAATGTCGGAGAGTGTTTCCATCTTGTATTTATACATGTATACGAAAGAAATTTGCTTCTCCTGATGGACTGTACACGCACTTTAAGTTTGCATCATAAAGCCCAGTCAAGTTGATGAGAGTTGGCAGTCACGGATTTCGAGCTCTAGGACTAGGTTTGATGAGTTTTTTTCAATCAGTTAACTTAACTAAAATTAATTTAATTTAAAGTAAATAAGTCATACATGATCGTGCTCGGAAAAATCTAGCCAACATCCGTATGATTGTCAACTCTCATTCGATCCAGGCTTCAATAAAAATTGTATCATATGAGTGAATATCTTTCAATTTTATTTACTTTATAACTAAACGTTCTTACAAGCCTCTTTTTTACAATCGCAAGCAGACTTACACTTGCGAAGTTCATTTTTACATTTGCATCGTCTTGTGGCGCATTTTCCCGAACAATCGCAATGGTCTTCGTCTACGCCTGGCAAAGCTGGCTGAGTAAATCGACTGTGCTTGGCCGCCACAATATCGGATTTTGGCTTTGGTTGTTTACCATCTAGATACTTTTCCACTAGAGTGACGGGTTCTTCCGTTAAGGAGTAGTCACGGCCAATTGATTCATTTATTTGTCACATGCCGAAAAGTTGTACATTTCAAAACGTTGTACATTTCAAGTCGTACATTTCAAATCTTTAAAATGCAATGCTGTATTCGTTTTACAAATTCACAATTCTCAAGTTTGCCGAGGTATTTCAGTATTACAATTCAATACGGAATACAGTAATAACTGATTCGTAATTAGAACTATAAATTATGTAATGGTATTTATTAATTACGTTGTTTACGACTTTAATACAAGCACTCAGGCTTTCTAGCCAATTTCATATCGCGCACAGTAAGTCCTATTATAGTAAGTTTATTTCTTGTGATTTTGTATATACTGTAGTAAACAGTACAATACCTTTCGCTACATGCCAAACGTCGTATGCGTGATCAATATCCGGCTTTTCTTGTGCGAGGTAAGACGAAACCTGAGAATGCCTACCTGTGACCAGCTTTTTCACGTTTACTTCAGATTGCTCCAAATACGCCAGTTGTCGTTTTAGGGACTCCAGTTCCATCGCAGTCGAATTCTTTACTTCGGTGCTCTACATTAATTAACATTCATAATGGTCGTAAAAATAAAGTTACGATCTTTCTAAAAGTGCCAGTTTATAATAGTTTATACGGGTAAACCACATATAAATAATAAGTAATTGTCTAGTTATAATCACTGCGCAGTTCTCAGTTCTAAAATGTTGTATTTCGCGAGGTATCACCTGATGAGAAAGATCTTGACTCAATCTTTACGACCATAATTATGGAAACCATGCAGGCTTAGTTAAATCTAGGAGTCCAGGTGTCAATTTCAGATAGATTGCATATTTCTTCAATTACCTTAATAACTTGAGTGTCCAGAATTATATTTCTGTCAACATCTAAGCTACTCCCTGAGCCGAACAGTCCGCTGAGCCCAGGACTGTCCACTCGCATGTCAGACGCAATACAAATTGGGTTGTCCTTAAAGGGAAATGGCAATATATTTTTTTTATTTTCTTATTTGAAAGAACTTTTGAAACTATTTAATAACTTCTTTTACCCATTCTTCATATCTTGCTTAGTTCTTGAAATATTTTCATCCGAAGTAACGAGATGTCAGCCATCTTGGATAAAATTTTGATCTCATTAACGGTAGTTTTGGTGACGTCACAACAGGGATTAACCATATAAAAGTATTCATTTCTGACCAAATGTTGATTGGTAGATGTTTTAAACGTTTCGAGTAATCTTGATATTTCCAAGGGCATGCAGAGTATAATTTTGAGTGCAAAATGAGTAGTAGTTGTCTAGATAAAAATATTGCGTGACCCCTGTTGTGACGTAACATGCATATCCATAAAAATCCAAGATGGCGGACATTTCATTTCTTTCGATTAAAATATTTGTAGAAATAAGCAAGATATGAAAAAAAGGTAAAAGAGTTTTATATATGCTTTTAAATGTTCTTTCAAACGAGAAAATAAAAAAATATATTGCCATTTCCCTTTAATGCTATTTAGCAAACACTGCTGCTGCCTTTTCCAGACGTTGAAAACAGCTGGGATAACATAGCCGGTCAGAAGATTGGAGAACTCCCTTCTCTTGAAGCACATAATTTTTAAGGAATCGAATAATCTAAGCGCTTTTGCACATTCCATGCCTGTACATAGAACACTTGAAGCGATCATCAAATGTAAGATGGGCAATCGATTGCATAAAGGACCTGTCGACCAAGTAAAATTATGGGAAGAATCAGCACTACAATGCACAGCTATCTTGCAATATGTTCCAATGTTGTGTTGTAGTGATACAGTGCAAGTAGATCTACATGTCGAACAGACCCCGAATCTTTTAACAATTGACTCTTCGAATACAATAAACTTCATTTGATCATGTGGGGGCTTATTGCTAGACAGCGTTATTAACTCGCCTCTATCGCCGTTAATTCCTTCGTCACTTTCGAGATCGCTTTCATCTGACTGATACTCTTCGTCTGAGGATGAGTGTTTGTCAATCGGGTCTGAATCTAATTCTGGTTGGGATGTGTTGGGTACAAGTTCATTTTCAATCAGAGCTGTCTGTGTGGAAGAACAAACTAGTACTTTGGGCTTCGCGGCGGCAACATATTGCAATAAACACTCATTTGTTAAATAGGTTTGAGTTTTTTTTGACATTGTCTTTGTCTTGTTACTTGTAACAGTAGCTGGAAGTTTGCATGTTTGAGTCATCTTATTTTTTTTTGGCCACTGATTTACGAACTGTTCGTCGGTCTGGGTGTAAGATGATTTAATCGTTACTGTCACTGGTTCCTGGGGCATGAAACTTTCGCAAATTGTTTCATTGCGTGTTACTGTTAGGATTTCTTCATGACTCTCTGAATGGATTGGTTGTTCACAAATGACATTGGCATTTTCAGCAACCGTGTCTGCATTGAGTATATCTTCAACTTCCTAGTAAGAAAACAATATTTATTTTTAACACAATATATGGTTGCAGCTAAAAACATATAATATTTGTCTAAGCCTTTGAGAGAAAACAAAACAGTTTTAAATGTATAAACATTGATAGACGCGTGCTTTATAATTAAATATTAAAACGCATAGCCTACCCTTCGTCTTGACAGAGTTCCAACTGATCTTTTCACATTTTGTTCTTCACTCGTTCCATCCAATGGTTTATGTTCTGTTGGAACAGCATCATCCTTTAACTTTAATCTTCGTTTCCCAGAAAATTCAATCGATTTTAAAAATTCTGGCGAATTGGCAAGAATGTATGAGTCGTTTCTGAAATATAAAGAGCAGATACGCATGCTCTTGGTTGGGTTAAAACTTTTGCGTTTGCAAAAGTTTATCCAGACATCCCGCCGTTTTTTTTCCTCAGGACCTTTTGACGCTTTTGGAAATTCAAAAAAATGCAACAAACCGTCTTCATTCTTTTGGCTATCGCTTGAACAGCCATAAACTGGACAATACATGTCTTATATTTATACTGTAAAGATACTACGACTCAAAGCGTTACCCTGCTTGTGACGTCACAAAAAAATACTTGCATAAATTAGCATAAAACATTTATAATTCAGTATTACAAAATGGCGGGGGTAGTGTAGTTTAGAGCTAAGCCCAAGTGTGTTATTACATAAATAAAAGGCTTTCAAAGGTGTCATTTATTGTTTCATGACTAGTTTGAGTAAAATCTTAAAGAAAAATGAGATGTCAAAATATATTGCCAATCTCCTTTAAGGAATAAATTTAACCCATTGAGTGGCAAAGCACCCTATTTTAGTATTTTACTCTGTCTAACGCCAGACAATTTTACTCGTCAAGGGGAGAGCGCTGGCGCTTAATGGGTTAATTACTCCTCATGTACAGTATGACCATTAATTGTACTGATAATAAACTGTAAAGATCACAACCAAGCTGACCAAAGCAATCATTAAAGATTGTTGGTACAGCATATGGCTTTAACACTGGTCTCTGGCTGTAATCCTCCTCAAAGATATCAGCACTAAAATGCTTTGAACACAAACGACTATTTTTCATAGCAACAAACTTCACTGGCATAAGTTTGCTTATATTCTTCACCCATATGCTGTGCAATTCAGGGAATCTCTTCTCATCTGGAAAGCTTTGAAGTAAATGAACAATTGTTTTTAGTGTCTAGTTAATACACTGTTCAATATGATACCTATAACTTACAATATAAACAATGCCACACTAGACAACACATGGTTTAGTCCACAATAAAGACAATACAATGAGTGAAAGGCTTTGTACATTTAAAGCTAGTCGTATCTTTATCACATTGTTAAAATTCTCATTTGAAATTTTTTAACATAGCATTATCTGTTAGGATATCGATAGGATTTCATCACTGCATCACATCCATCAACTTGCATGAAAATAAATACTTGCTCGACAACAGCTCCACAAGCTTGTCAACATTTTAAAAATTTGTTCTGCTTTTTCACTGTAGTACACTAACATAAATTGTATTGTATGTCTTGTATGTTGCTTGCCAATAAATTTCATGAATTCACAAATTTACACATTCAATACAGCAATACAGCATGCGTTAAATTATTACAAAAAAAAGAGATTATACGAGCCTTACGCATGTGAGGACAGGTCCTTTCTTTCAGTAGATTTTTGGCAACCAGGAATTGAACAAAAAGTTGGCATGGTTGCAAATGTCTCGTTTCAATATAGAAATTTCCGACCAAAATTTTGAATTTACTATTTTACTTCCTTCTGTTTTAAGCAAATTGAAAGGGGTGTGTGAATAACTTTTTTCTTCACGTTAGTATTTTAGGTCAGTGGTGTTCACCATAAATTTAGATCGATTGTGATGTCAAAATGACGTAAATTTGGCCAAAATCCGCCATGTTTTTGGCCACACATTTTTGACTGACGAGGTATTGGAGCATGATCTCCAGATATATTAAGTATAGCTCAGTGGGTCTGATCCTATGGTGAATGAAGATGCTAAAAAAGGCATTACTAGAGGGCACTACCAGGGGGATCCATGCTCCCCAGAAAATTAACTGTTCCAGATTGGCTAAAAATGCATTTGCCGTACAATATTTGTTACATTATTCTACAGTCTATACATTTACACACTATTGCACTACTAAGATGGATGCACTCATAATTGCATTTATGAGGTCATACATACAGTACAGGTAACATTCTTTCTATTGATTAGAATTTTTCTTTTTAATTTCTCCTTTTACCTATTAAATTTTTACAATTATTTTTTTTCTTTCTTGGGGAATTATCTTCTGAGAACTCAAAAATGTTTTGGGACCAATGGTCCTGTGGTCCGAACTTTTTCCAGCCCTGGACACAAGTGCCCAATATGCAATAAACTGTTTGCAGCACAGTCGTCATTAAAACGACACTTGAATGTACATAGTGGAGATCAGGAGAAGAGATTCAGATGTCAACATTGCAACACAAAGTTTACAACAACATTCAGCATGACAAGGCATGAAAAGAAATGTGTATAACTGTCATGGCATCACAGACTGCTGTATATGCTGATGTTCATATTAATATTGGTTTTGGGTTTTCATATTAGATATAACAAAACTGATATGGGGGCAGGGGGATGAGAAAAGAGGAGATGTCGAATTATTTTTGGCCTGAATGTGGGCGAAAAATAGAATAAGGCTGAATAAAATTATACCAGGACCACATAATATTAATTATTCAATAAGGATTATGGAGCTCAAGGGGATGCTAAAAATAAATTTCATACAATTAGGGTATTTCATACAATTTCGTACATGAAAATTTTGTTGTGAAATTCTCACCCCTACCCCCCCATTACCCCCCATTATTGACCAGTATGTGAAGTTAATTAAATAACTAGAAAATACATGCATGCAGAAACCCTCGCCTTCTGCCAAAACCATTGTATTTTCTGAACATGAAGTATTTAAAGTAGTTGTCATGGTAACACGAAAGTATACACTGAAATTATATGCTGTCTTGTTTCGTTTATATGCAAAATTTATACGATTGGCTTTTAAAGCAAATAATACATTAATATTTAAAACAAACTTACCTTCATTAATGTCGGCACCTTTGCTCCTTTCTTTTAGCCGATTCTTTCACCCTTTTTTCTTAAAAAGCTTTTGAAATTCACAAAATCTTGCAAAAATGAAATATATTTTAAATTAAATCAAGAAATGTTTGCTATTTCGCTGTTGTCATGTAGTCATTATAATGCAAATTTTAAATTTGACCAATCAGTGTTTGCTATTCATGACTGTCCACAAAATTTTTCAGTTCAGTGAGGATGACCACCCACCATTGGTCACCCATGCCGCGATCATTGATAAACTTTAGACTTTGCTAATGCTTTCGTCTCCCTGGGTGTAATTAGCTGTGATGTTGCCTCAGGGACTATTGAGGTTCATATTTTTTTCAAATTCATCAAATGTAATTTAAATAATTCTACTTTATTCTATTAATTAATACAAGTTAAGATGTCAGACCTTACAGTAATACGATAAAACCTCTATCAAGGCCCTGGGGCTTATTTTTTCATGCATGTTAGATTTGAAAGGAAGAGGATGGTCTTTTAAAAAAGGGACAATTTGAGAGGGGGTCATAAGAGAATTCTTACTGCAAGGTTTGAAATAATAATAGAAAACATCTTAATACATTGAATTACTTTTCATTGGGCTTTAATGAAGTCTAGCATCAAGGTCCGTAAAGTCTTGTCCTCCCACTTTTTTTGCTACTGGTTCATTCCTTCTAACATTCTCTGCAAACTGGTGCAAATGTTTACGTTTCCTAGCCTCTTTCTGCAATGGATTGTTTTTGCAATTTTGTCCTTTGCTTTGAGATGCCTTTGAACCATTTCCATACATTTTAGTTTCAAATGTATGGAAATTGGTTGCGAGCTTTGATGTTGGCACCAAGTTTTTCTTTCACACAATTCAAGGCATGTGTGACAGCCTGGCTGCATTCATCCACACTGATTAGATCTTGTGGGGTGTTCCTTCTAGCCATAGCTTTATAAAAAATATAAGAACATGTAATTACCACCAGAACATAATTACTACCAGATCCCGCTTTGCCAGTGCTGGCTCCAATGGAGGGGCTATGTTCCCCGATGGAGGGGCTATGCAATGAAAGTATGAAAAGCTATCTTTTCAGCAGTCTACAGAAAATCGAATCTAGTCACCCGAACTGTGGGATTGTTCTCGCAGGCAATTTTAATTGGCTAAATATTGCAAATATATGTCATCATTACAGTTTGAAACAAGTTGTCATATTTCCAACTGGACAAGAAGCAATGTTGGACTCATTTTAACTAATATCAGTGAGTTTTACTCTTAGAACCTGAATGTTCTCCACCATTAGGCCTTTCCAACCATTCTACTGTGCATATAACTCCTAAACAAAGATGGTGTCATCAAGAAAAAACAAAATATATCACCCTTCAGGTCACTCGACCTTCATGAAGAAAATCTCTTGGTCGGTACCTAAGCAACATCAACTGGTCAACTTTGTCAGAATGGTCAACATGTGAAATGTTATCACACTTCATTGGCACGGTCTATGACTTCGCAGATTCATATCTTCGGTTTGGTGCATGCTATGTAGATGAAAGTACCACCATTCGATTCAGTGAAACAATATCTCCTAATTCCTATGGATAGTTTTTATTCAAATATAGTTGTAGTGAAAATGTATGACTATTTATGACCTTTTGAGAGGTCATGCGGTGTCATATTTAATTATATTAATCAATTGTCTCGAACAATGTAAACTATCCATACCTTTCGCCGAACATAACTTCGGCCCCTTTGAAGATATCGTTTTCGCTATAGTCTTATTCGAACCAGAATCCAAAACACTATTTAAAGTGTTATTTTCAAGCTTGTAGGATTAGTTTTTCGTCTTTTATTTCGGTATTTCAATCTGTTGTGATACTAGTGAAGTCAGCGGGATATTTTTGACCGGAAATACACTTTAGATTTGCGAAAACATCGCGTGTTTACATCCCAGCGCTCGGAAAACGTCGGAAATCGATTCTATAGGTCAAATTACATCTGCAGCATGATTTTCACGTGCATTGTTGAAAACATGTGCAGTTAGAACTGTCCCGAATGAGGTCAACTTCAGCTCCAGGGCTTCAGCATCGGTGATGGTCTCGCTGCTCTGATTTGTCGACTGGCAATCTTCAAGGGTGTCGATAAAACATTCGAACAATTCTCCTTTATGTGCAAAGAAAACATTTTCTAAAGATTTTTGGTGGGACCACCACCTTGTCATCGACACTCCTTGTGGTCGGTGAATTTGTTGAATATTGGATTCTTTTTGCTTCTCCTCAAGAATGTCGCTACGCTTCCTGGATTGCAAGAAGAAGGGCATACAATTTCTCCAACGCACCAAACAAAGATTTTGCCGCCAATGAGGAACTACAAGCCTCCATTATAACAAGATTCAGCACATGATCAAATGTCCAAATGAACAAACATTTTGGGTTGACCTGTTGAACGAGAGTTTTCAATCCTTTGTACTTTCCTGTCATGACAGATGACCATCATAGGACTGTCCAACGGCGTCATTCAAACTCAGACTACTCTCTTTTAAAATTTCTTGAAGAGTGTTAAATAATCCCTCAGCAGACAAGTCTTTCACCCGCTGAATGCTCACTAATCGCTCAACAATGTCCAAAGACTTATTTACGTAACGAATAATAATCGACAGTTGATCTGCATGAGAACTGTCTGTATGCAATCCATGGCAATACTGTACATTCCCGCAGCGTTTATTTTACCGACAATGACTTTCTGGAGTTGATTTCCTATGCTGTTTATTATCTTGTTTTGCAAATCTGCACTCATAAATGAGACAAGACAATCGTTCATGTCTGTGTGGAGTTCGCAACTTGATCCATTAGCCTCTATAGTTTCCCCTTGTTTGACACGTACAGAACTCAATTCCTCGCTGTTAATTTCGCGACTTGCTTGATTAGCCAATTGGTCTGCAGTTTCCTCTGTTTCAACAGAATTCAATTCTTCTCTGTTAATTTTGCAATGTGCTTCCTTGGCGAATCCGTTGACCGTTTCTTCTACATCGATGGAATACAATGCCACTTCTGCACTAGCTGTATTGTTTGTCAACCGAGTCAACTGAAATTTGGGACAAGCTGGCGGATCTTTGCTTTTGTCGGCTTTCTTGTAATTATCACGTGACAGGTTCCTTGCAGATTGCGACGTCCCAGTCAATAGGATAGGGCTTGATATTGTATGTTCTTGCTCGAATAGTTCTCCCCTTGTAATAGTCCCAATCCCAGACTCTTGGTGGCTAGAAGAAGATAGTTCTTGCAATGTTGATGATGAAGACGCAGCCTTAGTAAGTAGATATTTCTATATAAGAACTCATAGTAAAATTTCATTGTAGAAATGGGGCAAATACGGAATGACTTATTCGCAGCGGAAAATCAGATTGAGTTCATTTTTGCTATCAGCTCTAGTCAAGGAACTTGTGATAATAAGTGAATAAGTGACTCAATATCTGTTGATACTGTAGACAATACAACTATAATACCAGGAAGGATAAAACGCGGACGACTAATTCATCGGTATGTCCGTCCGAAACTCGTTCACCCATTCTTACGCCGCTCATCCGTATGTCCGCATCTGTGTTTTATCCTTATCCCTAAAATACCAATATGTCATCTGCATGTATTTTGAGCAAACATATTAAATATATAGAAGAAAATAATTGTCAAATTGTTTTTGTCCGTTTTTTATTAATATGTATACACATTGCCATTAGTCATTGCTGCCGCAATTATGAATGTAGCTAAACTTTTATAAACATAATTGCATCGGCTGATGAGGCTCTGTTTAAATTAAAACTAAACAGGTATTTACTTATAATAAATACAATATTGTAATTCATTCGTAACGATTCGAAAGACCTAAACGAGCTGTCGGGCTTTTAATTGATGTAAATCGTAAACAATTTATCGTTAGCGTATTTCACCTGGTACTGCAATAAATTGTTGGTATTTTCGTTTATCTACATCCCAACTGAAAATTATTCAGTTTATATAACTAACATAACGAACTAACCTGAAGGGGATTTGCTGGAGCCCCAGCATTCTTGTAGGGAATATGCTGGTGTTTCTTTAACCGATCAGCGTGATACTTTCTGTTATGGCGAGTGCGATAATCGCTGTCAAATGTTGTCTGACAAAGGAGACATTCAACTTTCCGACGTTTTGGATGATTTGGCATAATAGCATAATTGGCATTACATGTATATCAATAACAATATAACATTCACGTCGGTGCATCACCTGGCAGTGTTTACAATCGTGTTGTTTGTTATTGCCTGATGCAAGCAAAGGCAATAGGGGCGGGCTGGGGGGGAGGGGTTTAGCCTTAAAGGCGCAAAACATGGCAATCCATGCTAGTGTTATATGTGTCGAATCATATAAAGTATATAACTCTGAAATATTGACTATTCTAAAACTTATATTGGGAAAACATAAACTGAGTCCGATTTCTGATATTTCATCTATATATTTTTCTGTTCAAACATGTTTCGAATTGTCAAACAACGAAGAGAAGTAAAATTCCCGCTCGTATATTAGGCTGCCGGCTATAACTTCAAAAGTAGCTCAAAATTACATTTTTGTTGGACACATTTAAAGAATACGATTTGTTTTCTTCAAATTATTAAAAATATGATATAAAAGATGAGTAAACAAATTGGTCCCCATTTCGCCAACCAGTTTGGGTAAAAACGGTCATTTTCATAATGATGACATCATATACAAGAAAGAAAACACAAATTCGAAAAATTTTGAAATTTGGCAGTGTAATTAGTTAAACACTCATTAGTAGAGAAAAAAATTATATTACACATATAACTTCAATGTTTTCGTTGAAATGTTATAGCTAATAGAAGTTTTTAAAAATATGCTGACTAAGCATTTTTTAAAATTGGTTTACCACTCTAAACATCAACACAACACCATTTCAAGTTTTTGTCACTACATCTCTGTATTTAGTGATAAATGTTGTATCCAACAAATTGCTCACAATGCCATGCATAAAAAAGTATGCCCAAAGTATCAAACAGAATAATTGCGGTCGTAATAATTGTGGTTGAGATGCAGGAGTTGTACCACTGTTTAGGACTAAAAAACAGCAGTGTCGAAGATAATACTCTCAGATGATTTTAATTATTTGTGTTATAATATGAATATATAAGTAATTAAGGTTCTAATTAACATTGTCAATATCAAGTCCTTCATTATTTTCATATGCATCTTCGTCATCAAAGTCAATGAAAAAATCATCCCTCAGACCTATCTTTGTTTTTGCAACTATCCGAACATTTACACAAATCAGTGCAATTCAGGTTTGCTTTCTTACATGAGCACTGATTAGACTTGCAGCCTGTTTTGCAGGAACAGTTCATGATCTCCAACATGCTATCCGGTGCCACTGGAAGAGTCATCCACTTGATGCATACCTGCCCATTCTTGATGTACCAGCCATGTCCATCTGGACTTCCTGCAGTTATAAATTGCACCATACATCGATGTCTGACATAGCTTTCGTAGTTCGCACAATGTATATGCTGCACTAAGCTGCCTGAAGTGGGTGGCAGTGTTTCTTCAGTGCAATTTCCCATTCTAAAAAGGTTATGTCGAGCATTATCCACATCAATCTCATTTTCTTGTCCGTATAAGTGACAAACAAACTTTTGTAGATATGACATTGTGCCCTGGTCAACTGTCATTTGTTTGCCCAGATCTTGAAAGGCACGAACATACTAGACTTTATGCATGAGTCAATTCCAGGAGTAACCATCCCCCCCCCCCCGGGAACACACCCGGGCATTTGATTTGATTGGTTATGATAGTGTAAATGCCGGGTGCCGGGACACAACTTGAGGACTAATGCACGGCCCCTGGGCAAGCTGAGAGTGGAAAATGCCCCACCCCAGGGACGATTTTACAGTCGATTTCACGAAACTTTGACCACAAATGTTCCGAACTTCGTTGCGAAGTTCGTAAGTTCGTTGCGAGGTTCGGAAGCTCATACTGGAATTCACAAGCCAATTTGTAAACAAAGTCCCTGATTGGTCCGTGAAGTAAAAGAAGCCAATCAAATGCGTAGTTTACGAACTGGTTTGTGAATCTCATTATGAACTTTTGAACTTCGCAACAATCTTGTGAACTTTGCAACGAAGTTCGGAAAATTTGTGGTCAAAGTTTCCTCCAATACCCGGCACCTGTGCATATATATGAAAGGCAAATTCCCGACCCCCATGAACTGTCTATCGGGAAAATTCCCGGGGGTGTCCCCGGGGGAATGGTTACTCCAGGAATTGACTCATGCATTACTGCGTGCAACTTTGAGGCACGTTGCCTTTCCTTTTCCAGTAAAAGAAGACGTTGAATCAGATCCTGAAAGGGGAATTGATAAAATATTAATGTCATATCTGAATGGTTGGATGTAAAAAAGCTCACAATTTGACCAGAGTGTGAGAGGTGATAAAAGTTGCAACCTCTGCGCACGTTTGAACGTCAACTCATAATCATAATCTACCGCAACGAGATAAGTGAATTTTCTGCAATTTTGAAAATATTGCTCATGTGCCTAGAAAATTTCACTTACTGCAGTATTATCAGTATTAATTAAAGTATTGTGTATTACAGTACCTTTTCTTCAACAGACGGTATAGCAGTATTCATTTCAGGCTGTATTATGATTCCATTTGCTATGTGAGTGGTGTCTTTACCTGACCTGGTTTCTTCGCCAAAATCAATATTGTCACAAACAAGTGTTGTATGAACACCTTCTCTTATTCCTGATGGGATAGAAACATAATTTTAAGGTTAAGCAATGCCAGAGCCGTCTCATATGATAAGGCCACAGTTATCTGATGAGTAGCCATTGTCAATGCCAGTGATTTAGGTGTTTGCTTTCTTCCTCCAGAACCAACAAAGATACAGTCTTGGATTATGGCAAGCACCTTTAAAGAAGAAAATTTTATTCAATGCGGCTTACATACATGTCAGAAACCTAGTGTAGGTCTACTATTTTTCATTATGGGCAGAGTAACATGATGATATTTGGGGGTCATCTGACATTCCCAACATCCAAGCAAAGAAGTTGTACAGTCTTGGTGGTATCATCTTCTCAACAGATGAAAAATTTATCTCCACTGATAATGGTGGCCAGATGAATCAAATCCAGGATCATCTTTTACTAAATGCCTTAATTCAAGAGCTGTGTCATAAAAGAAATTAAATGGTATTCTCTGTTCATCTTGCTGAGGGTCAGGAAATTTATTATCACAAGAATCTTGAAATTCTTCAGTTGAATTGCCTAAGTCAAGATCATTTTTCATTTGCACATGACTTTCTGCAATGTCACCAGATGACAGATCCTGCACAAGGACAATTTCACTGGTATTTTGTCTTTGGGGTTGATGAAAAATTAACTGGGGAAATCTTTGTTTAAGTCTATCTTTCAATCTCGCTTTTTTGTACGAAGTCACAAAGATGCATCTTTTCAACATCATGAACCATTTGTACAAACACTTTAAACAAATCATTCATAAACTTGATTTTTTGTCTAGTATGTATTTCTGTTCCACATATTTCTCACAAAATGTATCAAAGGAATCTTTATATAGTACCCTGCTTCAACCATCTGTCTTACTGTTATAAAATACAGGGTTGGTGTATGCCTTGAAACATTTATCATGATATCTGACCTCAATTACAGAGCCGTCCAAGTCTCTAAAATGAACCAACAAGTGTTCATCATTTCTTCTAAGAGCTGCTTCTCTATTTCCAAGCAGTAGCTGTTTCGGCCTTTCGCAGTGGCAGTAATGTTCTTTTTTTGTGTTGTCTGAAAGTAGGATTTAATAATCTGATATAAGCTGATAAGCATTAGTGGATTAGTTACCTGATGGAAACCTTTGCCTCTAGGCTCACAGCATACACACAGCATACACACATTATACAGCAGTACAGTACAACTGTGAACATAAACAGCAAGAAATATTGAACATAAAAAACGAAATAAACATCAATATTTAAACACTTACTTCACATTTACCCCATGCTGTTGACTCTTTGCATATTATGCATTTGGCAGGCAAAATGTTTCTCCTGCATCTGGAACTACCAATAACTGTGCCTTGTAACAAATCATCCTGTTTTTCCTGGCTAGGACACCTTTGGGATACATGAATGTATTTAGCAGCTGGTTCACAGTTCACTAACTTCACTTTCCATATTGCTCTCTGATGCTGGTTGTATTTCGTTCTTGGGATTCCTTTCAGCCTTCTCCAACTTTGATATGTTCGCCACTTTACGATAACATTCCATATGGTAATATTAGTAAATTACATAGCCATTGGCAAAACTTTCTTTCTCGCCTTCATTCGAGATTTGAATAAACTGATTTTCATAATTTTCGGATATTATTTGGTACAAGTTTTCACACACATCACCAACATTATTACTCAAATTTGTCCATCTTTTTCTTAAGGTAATAAGCTTTTCAAATGTTTTGTTCCTAAAGCTTTTTAATTGTTCATCTTTGCTCCCAACGAAGTGCACAGCACATTCATTGCTTGTTATGGCTAACATATTGTATTGTCCTATAAAATAACATTGGCCAAGATATGCCAAACCGGAAGCTTTGGCTGCAAAAGTGGATTTTGCTGAATGTTATGAATTGCGATCAAAGACAAGCAAACAAAATGGTGGACAACTGAGAGCGATAAAATACGATTTTGCATCACTGATTTTTAAGGAAACTGGTTGGTTAGCATGGGGCCACTTTTTAGAATTTTGTTTGTGCAGTGCAAAACAGCACTTTGACGTAAAAAATATGAATTCTTTAAATGTGTCCAGCAAAACTAAACGATATCAGACCATAGCCGGCGGCCTAAGTTGGCAGGAATTAATGTGGAGGACTTGCTAATTGATCTGTACTACTGGTTTGACAAAAGTACTAAGATGGAAAGGAGTACTTGTTGAATACATGGAGTTCTGTGACCAAGAGTATGGAAAAAATTTAAAACATTTGTCCACGAGATGGTTATCACTTGAGCAGTGTGTTGAGCGTGTAATTAAAAAGTATACTAGGCTCAAGTCATATTTCCTCAGTGAGAACTTTGCTGATGCAAGGTTCCAAAGGCTATGTAAAGCTTTTGAAAACCCAGTTACTGAAATGGTTCTGTTTTTCCATCATGCAAGCATCCCTCTCTTCACAAGTTTCAACAAGTTATGGCAGGTCAGATGAGCCATGCATTCACATTGTCCATAACTCTGTAGTTAAACTGGGAAAAACTCTTGGCAATTGCATCATTAAGACCAACATTATGAAGGAGTCAACACTCACTGGTATTAACCTGGAGGATCAGTCAATATATATACCAGTACAATCAATTCACCTTGGTGGCATGACAAAGTTTAATTTGCGAAAACTGTTAAATGAAGGGGACATTACTGAAAGAACATATAATGACCTCTTTGTAGCAGCACAAGCCAATTTCAAAGCAGCTGTAGGCTATGTCCTTAAGAACTTTCCTTTGGACCTTTAATAGCATTAATTTCATGTTGTGAAAACAGAGAGGTGTGAAGGTATTCCTGTACATTAATTTTCTTGAAAATATGTTTAATATGCTGTTTCATAGTTTATGTACTCTTTTTAATTCTTTTACTAATTTTTTGACTGCAGTTCTGGCAAAAAGGGCAACCTGTTGCCCCCATGCTGCAACCACAATGCTCCACACCCCTACAACTTGGCATCGAGAAGTTGAAGTGTTTCGTCATCAGTGAAGCTGAGACTTTTTGTTACAAAAATATTAACGAGATCTAATTTTTGCAAAACAACATGTTTCTCTTCATCAAATCTTTTCTTACTTTCTTCCAAATCAAATAAACAATTCCATCTCTTCTTCTTTGACATAGCGAGTCATATCCAATTTAAGTGCATGAAAAATTTTCGTGACAACTTAACGCTTGTCTTAAAAAATTCATTAATAATTCATGAAGAAAACACAAAAAAAAATCATAAGCGTGTCATATCTGTATATGTGATACAGATTGATGTTGATTTACATAAACTTTAACTTTGATTTTCTCGGCTTAGACAACATCTATTTTTAAAATTACTTCGCCAATGAACTCAAAAGATGAGTAGTTTTTTAAGCCATTTACAACATTCGCGTCCGTGTTGTATCAAATATACAAACTTTTGCCTTCGGCTCGAGTTTGTATATCCGATACAACATGGCCGCTCATGTTGTAAATAGTACTTAGAGGAGGTGCAATGTTTCAATTTCCGTGTAAATCAGAAAGCTGGGACCAAGGTTATCATAATATTTTGATAACCAAATGCCAATTTCAGGCAGCTTTTGGTTGTATAGGGTGTACATGCATGCTGGGAGAGGGTTCACTGTTGAAGAATCTAATGTAGAGTACTGGAGGGATCTGTAGGGTGAAATTGTAGCTTCTTTGATTACTTCAGCTTCGTAAATTGCTTTCTCTGCTGACGTTTCACTTAATTCTTGCTCAACCTTTAATTTAGTAAGGATTTTTTCTTGTTCTTTAATGTCTGTGAATTTTAGCCTTTCTTGTAGAACAGCCCTTTTTGCTTTAATACTGGTTGGTGTATCTTTCATGTTGGTTGAAGAGTTTTGCCAAGATCTGTGTGGCCAAATTGAGTAACATGTGACAAAATAGATCTTGTACCCTCTTTTTCTAGTGCATGCAAGCATTATTGGGCAAATTTCAGAGGACCTTCCCATGTGATGCAGCTCTGATGGGTCCACATAGCTAGCTGTAAGTATTCATCAAGTATTCATAGTTAGCTGTAAGTATTCATCAAAAGCTTGCAAAGCTGTTTCGTATTGTTCTATCTTTGCTTTTAGTTCGTTTTTAGTTCATATTGACTTTGTGTGGTAGATATTAACCAGACATCAGTTAATGTTCTTTTAAATTCCTTTCAAAAACTCATTAACAATTCATGAAGCATTATCCAATCTTGAGTAAGAAATTAGTCACGTGCATACATCTTTATACCAGCTAAAGAACACTTTAACAAAAGACCATTGTTATGCAAACTATATAAAGATTTTTATATAAAGATTTTTATATAAAGATTTTTATATAAAGATTTCTATATAAAGATTTGACTTATTATGCATACGTTTTTGAAGTCATTTAAAAAACTCGCGGGTCGTGTTTTATTAGGTCTAAAGCTAATAAAACACTCCTGCTCGTTTTTTAAATAGTACGTGAAAAAATAGTACTTGCTCTGGTTGATACAGCTCTTCCGATTCCAGGGCAAAATGGATGTCTGTTCTTCAGTACATGTGATGATAGCTTTAACTAACATAATATAAACCTTTTAACTTTGAAAACTAAAATAAATGTTCTTTATAGTCTGTTGGGGAATAAGGTTTCCTTTTATTAACAACTTTTAGGCCCTGTTTACACTATACCGGATTGCATCGGAGCGTATCGATTTTCATACCGGATTCGGCTGCTGCTTACACTACGCCACAGTAATCCGCGACGCGGAGCAAAAATCACTCCGCTTTGGAGGTGATATGAAAAGTAATCCGGTATGTGCCAGAGCAGTGTAAACAGGCCAATCCGGTACGCTTCGGTACAAAATCGGTTTTGGCATGTATGTTTTAACATTGTCGCCTTTATTTGCTCGCTTTTACAATACTTTATAGCTGTTATTTGTTTCGCCTTACAATCATTTACTATTTCTGCCAAAGACAAATAAAGAAAATGATAATAACATTGACTTTTCGCTTTTGAAAGAGCAAAATTTAAAGAAATTCTCGTCAATTTTGGATCAGAGCGAAACGAAGCAACGTCTGGTGGTGAAGCTTTTTAAACAAAGTTATACTTTACAAAGAAAACGTGTGTTACTTCTTGTTTTTAATAAATTTTGGTATATTCGTTACTTGTTTCCATGGCGACAGTGAAAGACATGAGCTAGCAACAGAGCGAAGCGGCATAGTGTAAACACCCTTGTTTTTTTACTTCAGAGTAAAAATTAATCCGGTATGAAAAGCAATGCGGTATAGTGTAAACAGGGCCTTAATCAGAATAAAAAATGTACATGCAGCATTCTTGCAGTAGCTATGTTCTGACGTTTTCAGACTGTTTGACGAGTCCTGTGCGTAACAAAACTTTAGTACTAAAGTTGAAATGTCAACACATAACATGATCTATTCATCTTTGCTGTTTGCTGTGGTCATTAAAAACCTGAAACCAAAGAATGGCATGTTTTAGAATAAGTATAAAATTTCTTCATCTTTGAAAAAGATTTTGAAATTGAGTAGTCTACGACCTGTATAGATGTTTGTGTGTGTTTCATTTAGTGCAGGTAATCTCAACTGTTTTAGGGTAAAATGACCATGGCGGTCAACATGGCATATGTGCCATAGATATAATAGATCTAGATTGCTGACATATACCTAGCGCATGTGACCCCAGATAGAAGAATCCAAGATGGCGGACAAACCAGGCAAAAACATTAGAAGTTCTATTATGAAATCCTATTCAACGATTTCTATGGCTTGTTTCTACAAATCCCTTCCGATCGCACTTTTTTTTAAAGAACTCATTACGAAACTTTCGAAAGGAAAATGGACTGGTTGGACTGTGTTTTTACAAAAAATATCCTTCACTGAACTTTTCATGAAATTGGTCACTTAGTCAATATGTGCGATTTCATGGAAATGTGCTTTGTTTTACTACCTACGAACTCTTGATTTGCCTTTTATCATTTACTGGTCTTTGGAAAATCATCATTTTTAGGGAAAAGTACACTCTTCTTTCATGGAAACAAATTATTTGGTTGATTTTGGACGTGAGTCCGGATCAGATGAGCTGGATAACTGGATTAAAATGGCCCGGATAAAATAACATGCACAGTGCTCAATCAATCATTATCAATAGAGTGTCACTGCAAGGTAGTGATGGGCAATACTATCGAAAAAGTATCGAAATCATCGATACTTACAAAAGCATCGATACTTGCAAAATGTATTGGTAATTCCATACCATGTGAGCCTGCAATGTTTTTGGTCAGTATTGCAGAACAATCGCTAAATACTTCATGAAGGCAACAGACTGAAGGCCCCTGAAGGCAAAAAATGTTGACATGATGCTGTTCTTAAACAAAAACATGTAGCTAATTAGCAATATATTTGAGGAAAACATTGGTGTTTATGTTCGATTATTTGGCAGGTACTCCAGTTAGAGTATTCTTTGACTTGTTTTAAACATTAATGTTCTTGTTTTAAAAGTTATTTTAATAAATGGAAAAAATTGAGTATTGGTATCGATTTTGG